TGGGGTTGAAAAGAAATTTTTAGTGTAAAAAAAAAAAAAAAAAAAAAAAAAAAAAAATGGAACGAGAAGACAAATAAAAAAGCAAAACCTATCATCATCATATTCTGTCCACTATAAACAAACCATTAGCAATAGCCCTATGACCCACTCTAGAGGAGCAGGAAATTCAGTTCTCTCTCTTGTAGGGAGGAAAACTAAAGAATTTTGGGACATATTTTGATACTATCTGAAGTAAAATAAATCAGGGTTTATTGTAGGCTAGGCGTTGGGTATAAGAAGAGCTGAAACCCAGAATTACAGCTACTTTCAACTGAAAAGTTCTCAGAGCTCTAGAGGCCCAAGGTATGAGATGAGCATCCAGAATAAAATTGGGGTTGCAGAGCTTCCACTTACTAATCAAAGTGCTGTTGGCCCCATAAGGCATATCTCTTGGAAGCTGTATAAATAAAGACATTGCAATGCATGAATTTAAAGTTCTGAGAAAATCCATGGAGTGTGGGGTCACTGAAGACAGCTCATTCAGCCTCCATAAAACTTGGGTGGTTGACCCTCCACTCCACTTTAGACTTACGGGAATCATGTGGAGCAGCTGAAGAATCTGTTAAGGGTTAATGCCTGCTGAAGCAGAGCTTAGAATTGGAGCACTGACAGGTCAAGCAGGAGACCCAAACTTTAACAAAAGATTTCCTTGTTCTCTCACCAGAGGCAAAAATACCACATTACATTGAGGTGGAGATTGTCAGTCAATAATCAAGGAGCAGATAGCACTTATAGGCTTCTCTAGTTTTGTCTACAGTGCATTTTATGAGAATGTTGATTTAATTGCCAGTGCTTGCAAACTGAGACGTCTGGGTAGAAAGATGGAAGATCTGACTACAGGAGAAGGGAGCTGAATGGCTAGCTCAACCTTCAGAGCCTCCTCCTAGAGCTGATCCTTGCTGCCTCTTTCCTCAGCCATCTACTTCATTTGTTTAGGCCATCTGCCTCGAATGGAAAGGCAGTTTGTAACGTTAGTCTTCTCAGTTTGGGGGACAATAATACACTACTTTCACTGACAAAAGGCCAAGAAAGCTCTATCAGTATTTTTGCTTGATAGGAGGACAAACATCACGTTGGAAACAACTCCTCAATGCTGATCCCACAGCATGCCTGCTGTAATTCCATCTGCACCCCTCCAGGTCCTGTTTGCAACTGTTCAGTAATCCTCCAGGGACTGAGATCCTACGGTTATAAAACAAAACAAAACAAAAATGAAACAAACTTGGATTGGATCAGGCTAGACTAGGTATGAACAGAAAAAATTCATGAAGTTCAAACTGGAGTATGTGGCAGCTTTCCAAGCAGTATATGCCTGTGGATAGCTTTAGCAAAGTTAATTTTCAGATCATTCCAATTTTTACCTAAAATCAACCTGATGAGAATGACTCAAAGTTCATCTTAGTCCTTTCTCCACATTGCTGTTTAAAGATAGAGGTTTCATCCATCTCAAATCTTAATGTGACACATGGCCCTTAACATGACATTAAAACCAGATGGAGAAACAGGTTTCTTCTAATGATTAACCAGGAATCCACAGAGGCTCAGGTTTTTCCCTCCTTCTATGCATGCTGAAGATGATTATGGTGTTAATGAAACAGAAATGGGGTGTGTGGACTCACGAGGAGTTTCAGATTTCAGACATATGGAAAGCAAAATGCTGGGGATAATGACGAAATTCAATATTTTATCACCTCATGGTTGCCTTGCTTTTGAGGGAAAAGGGTGAGAGACTGAAATAATGAAAAATTAGTAAGAGACACCAAATAGGACACAAAAGACTGCTGCATGTAGTTATAAAAACTGATTTTCTACTGTTCATGATATCCATCGTGAGGATGTAACTTGACTCTGAAGAAAAGTAACATGAGACAGTTAAACCAGCACAGACTGGCAATGTTGATTCTATTTATTCGTTTTGAGACCAGACTTTATTGTTGCCTAGGCTAGTCTTGAACTCCTGGGTTTGAGCAATAGCCCTTCCTCAGCCTCTTCAATAGCTGGAACTGCAGGTGGGTGCCACGTTATCTGGTTTGCTGGTTATTTTAAATTCAACTAGAATGCTTTCTGAAAACATCAAGTGGATAATCCCAGAGATAAAAGACTTTTATGTGGACTTTTTCAGATTTGCGCATTAGTGAATAGAATTGTCAAAATGATTATACAAATTATGGCATGAAATTTTTATGCAATTATTATCATTTCTCATCATATGTTATCATATAAAATGTTTGGCATATTTTTATAATTGAAACGAAGAACTATGTGCTATTAGACCAAATAGAAGCCTGGAAGAACCTTTTTTATTGTTATTGGTATTTCTGATTTTGACATGAGTTCTTATATAATTATTCTTTTAAGCCAGTCAGCAGTATTCAACAGTTGCATATAAGATACAACTCTGCAGGAGAAATACTGTACCTTGTATTAGATACTGCATTAGGCAAGGTTCTTTAAAGAAACAAAGCCAGTAAAATGAATATATATGCATATGGATTTGTGGATTTATTAGATTAGCTTACAGGATAGAGTCTGAGTAGCCCAACAATGGCTGCACCACACTGAAGAGGCTGAGAATCGGGTAGTTGCTCAGTCCACAAGGCTGGATGTCTCAGTAGTCCCAATCTGGTGCTGAGGGATCTGCTAGTCTTCAATCTACATAGGAGTCTAAAGAAGTTGGTCACAGCAACAAGACAAGCTCACCAGTAAGAGAGAAGACAATTGGGAATAAAGCAAGAGCTCCCTTCTGCCATAGCCTTTAAAAAACTTTATTTATTTTTATTTTATGCGTATGAGTGTATTGCCTACATGTATGTAAGTGCACCTGTGTTGTGCAATGCCCTTGGAGGTCAGAAGAGGGCATAAAATCCCCTGGAACTGGAGTTAT